TTGGCAAAGAAAGACAATGTTCTTGCAGAGGTATGTTACTAGAATACATGTAATCTGTAGGAAAAGGCTCTGTTTTTGTTTTTATAAATAATCTTTCCAATAATTTGACAAATGTCAAGACTCAAGACTCCTTGTTTTTATGTCTATGTTGACAATCATTCATTTGATCCTTTTTATACTTGGAGGGGGGGAGGGGAGTATTTCAATTGTTATTTTGACTGTTGCAGTATGTACAAAACTCAGACTATCTCAGACACTCACATGTAATTATAACTCTAAAACAAAGCCTCAGTCTAGACTGTCTTCTAGTTTCTACCCATTTGTATCACTGAAACAGTCTAAAACCTGATATAGCTTAATCAAGCACACACATGATTATTATTTCATACATTGTATATATTATTGTAATGTACTTGTTATCTGTGGCCACATATTGAACAGGCACAGTCGCCTTTAAAAAAAACACTTGCATATGACTCATTTAGGGGATATTTGCTAATAGTAACTGGATACACTCTAAGTGACAAGGTAAGAATCCTGGTTTTTATAAGATACCTAAATAATCCGAACATTTTTCCTCTGAACGCCACCCTGCACAAAAACAGTCCACCTTTGATCTACCTGCTGCTGAGTGATCCTTGCAATCCTTGCCAAACTAACAGATCGAGGCTGCAGTGCTACGCCTGCTTCCTTCCCTCGATCAGAAACCACTGGGAGTGGAGGGGTTGAGAATCTACCTTCTTCTCATTGAGCTTCTGCACACAGTCCTGAAACACACACGGCAACAGAGAATAAAGCTCGCTGTGGCGGTAGCCAATGCAGTAACAAGGTTGTCGAATGAAAGCCTCCAGATTATAGGTATGTTGCCTATACCCACCACCGCTATTATACATGGAAATTTTAAAGCCCTTCTATCTGCTGTTTTTACTTTTGCTAACGTTATTGTTTTCTTCAGGCGACTGGTGGTCCTCTCTGTCGCACTCCACCATGATTCGACACATTAACGTGTGGAAGCAGGCACTCTCAGAAATCCTGTCCTTTGTGCCTGTTCCCCGCAACTCCGGGGTCAGAAATCTGCTGCTAGTCCTCAAATACATGTACAACGTCAGTGTTATTATCTTAAACCAGTCATTTTACTCCTTCTTAAGCCTTAATGCCTCTTTTTTTAACCTGAAAACAAAAATAAATTGTAAGTAAAATTTTTCTTTTAAAGGCCAACAGCAGGGTTACGGAATCTCGAAGGATACCGGAGAGCAGTTTTTATTTATTGTTGGATGAAGCATTTCTTAATGAGGATCTGGACCAGTGGCATTTACGTTCAGAAAA